AACGCGCAGCGTTATAGCCACGAAGTTCTAGAACCACATCTTTTATCCTATCTTGACACCCTGGCAAATCCAACTTTCCAACAAGATAATGCCCGACCACATGTTGCAAGAGTCACAATAGACTTCTTTCAACATAATGATGTCACATTGTTACCATGGCCACCAAGATCTCCCGACTTATCCCCAATTGAGCACGTGTGGGATATGATGGGTAGGAGATTGCTCAATTTGCAACGTCCTCCTCAGACTCTAGAAGCACTTCGAGAGGAGTTGGAATGAGATACCACAGGAGGACATTGACCACCTGATCAGAAACATGCCTAGGCGCGTTGGAGAATGCGTAGCACATCAGGGTGCATCCACACATTATTAAAGCTCAAAGGGCTTTAAAGCAGTGCAATCATTTTGAAATTTTTATCATTTACTTATTATGCTTCATTAAGTACTTAAACAAAATGTTATTAAAATAAAACCATTTAACTGGGTGTTCGAATTTATATGTCACTTAGTATACCTTGCAACCTCAAAAACAATGATTTTTAACCGAGTTTTCGATAATTGAAGATGAGCATTTTCAGGGTTTTCAGACGTCAAATGACGTATAGCTCGAAAACGACTAAGTTTAGCTAACCTATATTTAAAAGATTCTTTTCGATAGCACTTTTCTGACACATCCGATGTACAAAAAAATATTAGATAAAAGAATCCATATTTTTCTTCTAGAAGGTAATATAAAAAAGTTGGAGAGGGGGTCCATTTATAGCCGGACACCATGTATATATACTAGAAACCACACACAATGGCCATATATATCCACGTATTCTTGACGCAAGTATCTATTGCGCGAGGCCGATCGCTCAAGTTTAATGCAATTCATCTAGCAAACAAACTCCATCAGCTTTAAAGTTCTCTCCCTCTTTGAAAGCAAAACCAGAGAAAACAAGCAGCGCCAGCTTTCGCCCTTCCCGCATCACAATAAATTTGCCGAGCTTCCAAATCAGCTAACACAGGTATCCTCCATCTTTTGCATACGAGCATCAATCTTGCAGGTCTTTGGCTTCTCGAGAGGGAATGGGGTTATTTACAGTGAACGAATTTGGTAAAATAAACAACACCTCAACGCCAGGAAAGTAATGAGAGTACGATCATTCGCTGCTCAAAAAGTGGCGTCAAGTAGGTTGACTCTGCACTTGCCACGCAACTTCGGAAGACCAAGACTTGTCTGGTGCTGGTCTTGGTCTTACAACATAACAAAGGTCTTGGTCTTGTATTGCGTACGGCGTAAAGGAGCGGCAAAATTTATTCAAATAGAAGTATACGGGAAATTTTTCATTGGTTTAACAAGAGGTATATCGTCAATACCGTTTGCATTTGACTTGAGGCCACTGACATCAGTTTTGGGTTAACCCGAATGTAGGAAAATCTCCGATCGCCGAACTTGTCATTTTTATGAAAATTATATACTAAGTGACATATAAATCCGAACACCCAGTTTAAATGGTTTTATTTTAATAAAATTTTGTATAAGTACTTAATGAAGCATAATTAGTAAATGATAAAAATTTCAAAATGATTGCACTGCTTTAAAGCCCTTTGACCTTTAATAATGTGTGGATGTACCCTGATGTGCTACGCATTCTCCACTGCGCCTAGGCATGCTTCTGATAAGGTGGTCAATGTCCTCCTGTGGTAACTCATTCCAGGCAACCACCAACTCCTCTCGAAGTGCTTCTAGAGTCTGAGGAGGACGTTGCAAATTGAGCAATCTCCTACCCATCATATCCCACACGTGCTCAATTGGGGATAAGTCGGGAGATCTTGGTGGCCATGGTAACAATTATGAAGTCTATTGTGACTCTTGCAACATGTGGTCGGGCATTATCTTGTTGGAAAGTTGGATCTGCCAGGGTGTCAAGATAGGGTAAAAGATGGGGTTCTAGAACTTCGTGGATATAACGCTGCGCGTTCATGTTACCTCTGATGAAGATTAAAGGTGACCTGGAACCATAAGCTATAGCACCCCACACCATAACTCCAACAGTGTGATGAACATGTCTTTCAACAAAAAACTGTGGATTCCTCTTTTCACCACGTCGCCTTCTAACCCTGGCACGACCATCGTGCATGCCTAAACAAACTCGAGACTCATCACTAAAGACAATACTGTTCCATTCCTGATCCCAGAGTGACCGTTGTCTGCACCACTCAAGGCGATTACGTCGGTGTTCTCGAGTTAAAGGGAGGACCCAGTGTGGCCGGTATGAAAATATGCCAAAACTTCTCATTCGTCGGTAAACACTTCGCATGATGAAGTTCTTCCGTGTTCTGCAAACCATTCATTTGCAATGGACCTGGTAGTGGAGAAACGGTCCCTTAAGGCTAATAATCTTAGGCGGCGATCTTCACGGTCTGTTGTTCTACGGCGGCGTCCAGTGCCCCTTGCTCTTTGCGTACGGCATTCTCGAAGCCATGCCTGACAACACCTAACCACAGTGTCTACACTTCTTTGCACTCTAACTGCAATTGCCCGAAAAGAAAGTCCAGCTTCCCGAAGTCCCACTATACGGCCCCTATCAAACTCACTAAGTTGACGAAATCGTAAAGGTCTCCGTACTCTAGGCATCGTAACCTATCGTAAAGAATGTCAAGAACCAAAATCCGCCAACGTTGATTCTTTACTGCGGCTGAAATATTCATTTTTAGAGCATTAGTGAATTAAAAAAAAGCAGTATAAAAACCGGAATGTCCAACCGATAAGGCTGAAAATTTTTCACTTGTTATTTACAGTAAGATAAATACATTCACCAACTTTTATTAAAATAAAACCATTTAAACTGGGTGTTCGGATTTATATGTCACTTAGTATATGTTGCTTCGTCTGACTGAGCAGAATGGAACTGATGCAAAATAACCGTTAATAGCGTTTGGGTCACTGAGGTGAGACGGTATACTTTCAGTTCTTGTCTTAGACTTAGAGGCAGCGACATTCATGTTACCTAAAGCTCTCCCAAGTTCTTTCGACATATGATGTTCTTGCAAGAAAGATAGGTATCCTGCTTTTTCCCGCCTAATTGACGTAAAAGCAAAATTGCTGCTTATTGACTCTCACCGTTCTGACTGGCGCGTACCTACGTTAAGAATGGTCCTTGTAACTTTTTCGTGGATGTTACTCGATAATATCAGATCATACCAAACAATTGAGCTGAAATCACCACAGCATCCCTTTTCATTGAAATTTTTAAAGCCCACCTGGAAGACTGTTGTGTTGAGTCCAAGCACGAAGCTTTCCTGCACGTCTCTGCCTTCCAGGAATGGCCAAGGTCACCATTGAATTCCAAGCTGAAAGTTACTTCATCTTATATGCCCGAACCACTGGATCGCGTTACCTTGGAAAAAGAATCGCCGGTATATTATTCAGCGCCCCAAATTACCTCATTGAGCATTTGTTACCAAAAAGTCAAAACAATGGGTCAGTCGGGAACCTGAGCGCAACATATCTTATAATACGCTTTTTGGGTCGTTGAAACCGAATCCATGGCCCATTTAGTCCGAAAACGCATCGTTTTCTAGATACTGGCAAGAATTCAACTTTGTCAAAAAACGACTAATAAAAAATATCTAAAAACTGTTGCGCGTCTATGATCCAGATGGAAGCTTGTTTCCCGGGTAAATCGGGTGCATAGATTCCAAATTTGATGTCGATACAGTGCTAGAAATCACGGCTAGCCCGGAAAAAAGGTTTTCCGTCAACTTTTCACCCTAAATCCAGTCTGAATACACTTTGGATTTTTGTCACTATGATATTCATATTCAGCGCCCTACCTCATTGAGCAAAGCTTTACTAGGCAATGAGGCGGGAATTTGATCTCCCATCCACCCACTCTTTACTCGAATTGCTATATTTTTCTCTTTACCTTGGACTTTGCCTGGCAGCTGGGTGACCAGGTCTATAAATTGATGAATTGCCCGCTAGCGACCAAGCTACGGCTGATCAAGGCCATCGCCAGACCTCAGCTCGCTTACGCCTCCGCGGTCTGGGGATACGCTGCTCCCAGCTACCGCAAGCGACTTGCTGCTCTAGAGATGAAGCTACTCTGGATCGCCACCAGTGCACGATCCTACGTAAGAAAGTCAACCTTGCGTAGAGACCTGCATTGGGACACCATTCACGAGTACATGAGGAAAAAAGCTAAGAAGACCTTCCAGAAAGCTCAGGACCACCCGAACGAGCAGCTGCGATTCCTCATGGACTACGATCCGGACGAGAGGCCTCGCAACCGCAGAACCAGGTACCCTAGACCCAAGTCACAGTTGGCAGACACTAACTGGAACCTTGAATAGGAGTACCCGCGGTTGCTCTCCCCTTCCCCCTCCACGGCGTGGATACAGAGGACGAGGAACCACCGCGACCAGGACCCACCGGGACCAGGACCCACCAGGACCAGGACCAACCAGGACCAGGACCCGCCACGACCAGGACCCACCAGGACCAGGACCCGCCACGACCAGGACCCACCAGGACCAGGACCCATCAGGACCAGGACCAGGAACAATATATAGGTAAGAGGACTTGAAACTCTTGATTTTTCGAAAACAAGAGTTTCAAGAGAACCTAGCAGACCCTCTATCGATGATCGCTTAACGACATCGATAGAATGTGCGAGGTAAAGGGAACCAACCCGGCGTTCCCAGAGACTGAAACACATGAGGAGACTTTGTAGCAGACCGCAGGTCACGCACAACACATGGCCTACCGAGACGCTGATGAGTCGGGCCACGCGGAGGTTAGGGTTTAGTGGGTATTAGGTGGTCTCCTCAAGACAACCTGGAGTCCTACACACGCCCTAGCTCGGGCTATGGTATGGTGTATAAACGCATTCCCCCCTCACAAAAAAAAAATACTTTGGCACACGTGCAAAGATCCTACGAACTTGACAGTCAACGACAAAATGACGACGACTCATCATGGGTTAATCCATTCGAGATTATATATTCCTTACCTGAAATTGTTTTCTCTGGCCACCTTAACGTGATTGGTGACATCCCAAGCTGCCTGATTTCCTACCTCTTGATCTAGATCGTGGTCTACGAAGAAGTCCACAGCCTCATACACTATGTTCCTTTTTCCTCCCTTTTGGCTTTCTTCCTTTGGTGGGGGTTTCAGGCTCATATATCGTGCATTGTATGCGGGTCCCAGGATTTCTTCCAGAACATATTCCGGCATTTCTCCACAGTCCAGCTTGTATGGTTGATCTGGCTGGTCTAGCTCATCTGACTCGTCTGTCTCGGAAAACTCCGGGAAAGATTCTTCCATCGGTATACCTATTTGCATCTGTGAAAATAGTAAGTTAAATTAAATACGATTTTAGCACTCAACTATGGAAAAATGGCGGCTTTATTGAGAAAAGTATATAGCGCGACAAGTACTTTTGCGGAAAGTTAGATGAAAAAACAAAGGGCAGTCGTGGGCATGTCCGCAATAAAAGTACAGGAGCAGAAGGATTGGTAACCCGAGCCACGTAGGTTTCTGCTTATTGGCTTCATCAGGGTCAAATGGATGTGCATTGAAAACACCGAAATGAAAACATATGTCCATCGCTTCTGGATACGGGTCTAACTTGGAAGAAAACAAGGATGTAAAGGGAAATACATCTGGTTACTTCATATCATGAAAGCAGACCGACACTATCATTAATGTAGCTTGCACAATACAGTTCATCTCCGAAGTAACAGATGAACAAGGGCAAGTAGATGTTGATTGTTCTGGTTTTCACAAAGCCTTTGATTCAGTGGATCATTCCTTGCTTTTGTCAAAGTTGAGTGGAGTATGATTATCCAACGGTTTGGTTTCACCTGTGGAATTATATGTTACTAACAGAACTCAAAGTGTTGAGATCGGGGAGTCACTCATCATGTTCCTTTACTGCCACTTTAGGTGTGCCTCAGGGATCTAACCTAGGACCGCTGTTATTTATAATCTATATTAATGACCTGGAATTATAGTTAACAAACCTCCATCTATTTTTTGCTGCCGGCTTGAACATTTTCTGTAAAATTATAACGATTGTGAAAATCTTGAACGAGACCTTAACACATTGCCACGCAAAATTAAGCGGACCAACAAAATTTTGTCAAATTAAATTTTAAATAACTTTTTAACCTTTTCGTTTTCGTTATTTTTTCCGCCAAGTTGAGGGTATGGACTGCCGATCTTGCCAAAAATTGAAAATATTTGTTGTTATACATGGTGTAATTAAAAGGTGCATTTTGCCCCGAATTTCTGAACACCCTGTGGAAACGTTGGATTACTGAATAATGTGTCTTCGTATGAGAATTTTAAGCCTCAACTTCTCTCAACAGTTGTTTTTTTGATTCACGTCAATATCTCAATTATTGAAGAACATATGATGTTTTGAAGAAAATCATACGAATCATAGCCATGAACAATTTAATTTATAAAATTGGTAAGAAAACTACGCGAATCATAACCATAAATGATTTAACTTGAAAAATTACAGTGACATTATTGGTAATTAGAAATTGTTATCAAAAACGAGTATTTCCTCCCCGGGCTTGAATAACTGCTCTCCTCCTCTCTAGCATAGATTCAGACGAGCTATTCTGTTTGAAATTCTCCATAGTTTTGCCTAAGCCTTCTTCGTAATGTATCCTGCAGGTGCTCAATGGGGTTGAGATCCGAACTTCGAGGCTTAAAATTCATATACGAAGATAAATTAATCAATAATCCAATGTCTCCACATTGTGTTCAGACATTTAGGGCAGAACGCACCTTTTAGTTACACCCTGTATAACAACAAACATTTTCAATTTATTTGCAAGATCGGTAATCGATAACGATAACAATGAACAATTTGACGAAAAAATTAACGAAATTGATGCAAAGGTTAAAAAGTTATTTCAAATTTAATTTGATCAACATTTTATTTGTCCGGTTAATTTTGCCTAGCAGTGTAGTTTAACTGATTGGCGCGTGATCAATCAACTTGATTTAAATCTTAGAAGATGTAAAACGTAAGCTTTTTCGCAAAAACAATTCTATACTGTTCATCTATCAGACTGATTACGAAGCTGTAGGTAGATGCCTTGGGATCTTGGGGTGATTTTTGATGTGACAGTGAGTAAGCTTTCATTATCTGAGAAGATAAGGCAAATAAGTCGGCAAACCAGGTTTGGGATAGTGTGGCAGAAACCGGCTTTGTCGACATGACAAGAATGAGAGCACTGTGTAATTGTTTTAAAGGGAATAAACAATTATTTTGTATCCATTCTATAAAAATGCTATTTCAGCAGTTGAATCGGTCCTGCGTCAAAACTACAACTACAAAATTTATGGTTTTTGTCATGAAAGAGAAAAGAAACCATTTTCATGCATTTTTGTTGTTACGAAGGCTGGGTACCACCATTTTGTTTTTAAAATAATAATAATAATAATATTTATTCACTCAATGTACAAACAATATGAGTAAATAAATATAAAATCAAAACAGGCCCAATAGAAGGCATCGCCTGTACATGGACCAATAATTTAAGTTGAAACTGTAGAATGCAAATGACAAAAAAGGACAAAAATTAGCTACAGTAGATTATGTATTTAGTTGATGTTCGTATTTATGAGTTTATGAATTTCAGTCCTAGATATAGAATGTAGCCAATTTTTTAAATTTCTTTTGAAACAATTTCCGAAACGTGAATCTTTTAAGTCTTTAGGTATAATTTCATAAAATTTAGGCGCTAAATAGACATATGATCGCTGCATTATAGATTTATGCGGTTGAGGAACTACTGTGCCACGAATTTTGTACCTGGTATAATGATTATGTTTAATTTTTTGGTCGGTGTTTACAAATTTATGGTAGTGAGTGATACTGTGTGTAAGAAATAAAGCTGTCTTATATCATACATTCGAACATCTGTGTATAATTTTTCATTGGGATAAAGTTTCGGTTTTTTAAATATCATTTTTTAATACTTTTTTGAAAAACATCTAAATTATAGATATGTGAGGAACATGCAACTCCCCATGCTAAAATACCATATGTGAGATGAGGCTCAATCAGTGCATGGTATAATGTTCGAAGATATTTTTCTGTCAATATATTCCCAAGATATTTAATTTTGTAGGATACAAATCTAAATTTCTTTAAAATATAATTGACATGATGTCCCATCGTAAGTGAGGATCCAAGACCACTCCAAGGTATTTTATGTTGGACACTCTATTAATTTGCATTTTTTGATCATTAATATTGAAGGAGAAATTTGTGTAATTTGGCAGATGTCTAGCATAAGATCCAAATGGTAAAAAATGTGTTTTAGAGTAGTTAATGCTTAATTTTCTACTGTTAAACCACCGAATAATTTTGATAAAATCATTTTCAATTACATTTTTCAGATCAGACCAGTCAGTGCCTTCATATAATATTGCAGTATCATCTGCAAAACTAGTTATTTTGCCGACACAATTAATTTGGAAAATATCATTTAAATATATATTGAATAACAGCGGACCTAAGACAGTTCCTTGTGGGACACCACACTTAATATACATTTCTTTACTAAATGATCCTGATATCTGCACAGATTGTGGGCGATTTGACAAATAACTTTCGATCAGTGAGTACGCGTTTCCTCTGAAACCAATTCTCTCCAATGCTTCTAATAATAATTTGTGATTAACTGTGTCGAAAGCTTTCTTTAAATCAACAAAAATGCAGATTGAAGGGATTCTGTTATCAATATTTTGATGTATTTGATTTACAATTTTAGTTATTGCGTCCGATGTAGCCTTCCCTTCTGTAAATCCATATTGATTTTCACTTAAAATTTTGAATTTTGTGAGGTATCGAATCATTCTAGTAGATAAAACTTTTTCAAAAACCTTTGCTACACTGGATATTACTGATATTGGTCTATAGTTGTTAACATCTGTTTTTGTTCCTGATTTATGTATCGGTATTATATTACCTTTTTTTAAAATTGATTGATATATGCCAGATTCAAATCATTTGTTGATTAGGTAAGTGAGTGGTTCTGTTATGTCCTCGGCTATAATTTTCAAATGCTCGCTTTTAATACCATCGAAACCAGGACTTTTCCGATTTTTTAAGGACATAACAGTGGTGTATACTTCACATTGCTCGACTTTATCCAAAATAAATGAGTTCAAAGTTCTTTTTGGAGGCTGAGTATTTTGTACATTTGCTTGTATATTACTTGCTAAATTTTCGAATATGTCAGTAAAGAATTGTACAAATCCATCGCATATCTGTTGAGTATTTTTTAATACTGTTCCCGATGTTGTATTTAACTCAGTGACACACTCTTTAAAATTTGTTTTCCCAGTAATCTCATCAATAGTTGTCCAAAGCCGCTTAGGATCATTTAAGTTATTATTCAATTTATTTAGATAATGTTTTCGTTTGGTTTGCCTTACAAGCTCTATAAATTTATTTTTATATTGGTTGTAGCAGTCGGTATTCTCTGTAGTTGGCGTTAGTTTCATTACATTATATAGTCTTTCTTTTTCTACTGCCGATGTTATTAATCCTTTGGTAATCCAGGCATTTCTGCTTTTCTCTTTGTGACTAATTATTACTTTATTGGTACTAATATCTATTAGTTTTTTTATTTTCTCGATGAACAGTCCCGCTGCTTTGTCTATATTATTTATAGAGTATAATTGTTCCCAGGATTCTTGTTTGACATTTGATATTAGTTTTGAATTGTCGACAAAAAATTTGTAATTTTCCTGGTTGTTATTAACGGTAGGGATGTTAGAATGTTTTTCATTTGAAGATATCAGTAAAATAGTGGAGAAGTGGTCAGTAATATCGCTTTCTAGGATTATTGGTATACAAGTAATTTTGTTGGATAGGTCTTTCACAAAGCAGTGATCTATACATGTGCCACTGATGGACCTTGTAGGTAGGTTTATATAGGACAGACATCCGTTACTTGATAGGATATTCAAGTATTCATTTGTGATGGGATCATCGTCCAAAATATTTATATTGACATCTCCCAAGAAAATATGTTGCTTTAAATGAACTTTATTTTGATTTTGAAAAAAAAATTCCATATTCTTTAAAAACTCGTGGGGTTCTGAACATGGCGGACGATAAATTGCAGATACCTCAATTTTGTTATGGTTAATTTGGATCATTATGTTTAAAATTTTGATTCCATCGGTGAAAGTGAATGTATCATGATTATATTGCAGTTTATTTCTTACAAAAACTATCACCTCATCGTTTTGGTTATAAGTGCCAAAGTTATACAGCGTGTCATATCCCTGCTGATTGAAGCAAGAAATATCAACCACTTGCCACGTTTCAGAAAACTATTAGATCAAAATTGTACCATATTTGATGGATTATTAACAAGTATTTGTAAACGTGATAGTTTATTTTAGATTGTGAAATCTTCTATAATCAATAATAAAGAGAAAATAAGTAAACTATGCCAAGGTTTACAAATTCCGAGTTAGCAGATATGCAGACTTGTTGACGGTAATGCGCTAATGACCAGGCCGACATATCAAGATCGGTATCGAAATGTCTTTTCCTACAATATACAGAAGACTACATTGAAATAGAAGTCTTAGCATTGATAATACTTACAAAGGGGTACATCGCAAGGTGAGAGCACCAGAATTAAAGGAAGCTGCTTTAAGCATAATTGAGGTTCATTCAGAAACAAGTATTAGGAAATTTGCGGTAATGCTTAATGTTACCCATTTTCTTATTTGAAAAATACTTGCTGACCATAAGAAATACTGCTGTCATTTTTGAGAGCAGGGCCGCAGAGAGAAAATCCGCGCCCCGGGAACCGAAGCGCGTTCATATCAATGTGCGCGCGTTTCAATAAAGTTGTACACTCTTTCTACAATGCAAATAATCGGGTAAAATAAAAGCACTAACCTGATAAGCATTGAGTGGAAGGTCAAGAAAAAATTTGAGAAAAAATATCATTTTAATAATCATGAAGAAGCGACGAACCCGGTGAATTAGTATTATATATAGAAAATTGAAATAGGTCTTTAACCCGGAGAGAACTATTTCAATTTTCTATAAATTATCATTTTAATAGTTTTATGGCCGATTTCACCAACATTTCCTAAATTAAAACCTAACTAAGAATTACTTAGCGGTAGGAATTTCCTAAATACAATCTTTGGTTTCACCAGGCTAGGTAATTCTTAGTTATGAAGTTCCTAGTTAAGACACAGTGTTTAGAAAGTTTTTGTTGTCAGGTTGCAATACTTCATAAAAATCGATTCGATATTTCATAAGTGACAAGTGACAATTATTGTCATTCATGACAGCTGTCTGCTTGGATGCTTGAATGCTATTAGGTGGTTTGGTTAAAATGGATATAATTGTGCAAAAAAGAAAGCGCTCAGCTACTTTCAATAGCGATGATAAAATAATGCTATTGACTTTAATTGGAAACAATAGCATTATTTTAAACAAAAAAACCGATGGTTCTACAAACCAGATGAAGGAGGAGGCCTGGCTGAAAATTGGGCAATAATTTAATTCACGTGCAGGGGAGAGAAGGTAGATATTTGTCTATTATATATTTATTAGTATTCATTACCACGTTAAATTGGTTTTTGCAGGGAGGTAGAAAGCTTGAAGAAAATATGGGCAAAACTGAAGAGCGATGCGAAAACTTACCGGGCCAAAGAACGCATTAGCGTTTCGCAAACTGGAGGTGGGCCTTCTGAAGTAAAAGCAGACCCCATACTGGAAAAAGTATTAGATATTTTGGGTCGTGCTGGTAGGGGTTTGGAAAATATCAATGATTGCGATATTGAAGAAGGCAAAGAAAATATGGTACCAGAAAATGCTTCATTGGGTATGTTATAATATATATATGTAATGAAATTCAATGCTAATAGAAAATGATATATTTCAGATTTACAAGATAACATTGTTGTTGAGGAAGAAGAGGAACAGGAGCATCAGATTCAGCCTCAAATAATAGTATGCATAATCATCATGTTGCTTTGGATGATTTTTAATAGATTTTTTTCAAGGATAAGACGCCTGTTCACCAAAGAAGACGACCACTAATTTCAATTGAAAGAGGGAGCTCCTTGAATGAAGCACGGTGCTTAACAGAAAGGAAAAAATAAGAACTAATAGATGCAGAAATGAGAAGGGAAATGGAACTTCACGAGCTCAAAAAAAGAAAACTAGAAAAAGATATTGAAATAAGGGATCTTATAATTAAAAAAATTAAAGGTGAGGAAGTTCTTAATTTTTTATTGAAAATGTCTAGCTACAAGTATATCTCGACTTAAATTATTTTGTCCATTTTGAATATTTCTTTCCATTTGGCCATTTTGTATATCATTTTCAATATTCTCTACTTCTACTGGTGGGACATCTTCATTTTTATCTATGCAAATGTTGTGTAATACAGAGCATGCCAATATTACATTTATAGAATTTTCTAATTTTAATCTTAATCCGGTAGCCAATACAGGAAATCTTCGTTTTAGCACTCCATATTGTCGTTCCACTGTATTTCTTGTTGCAATATGTGCCCTATTATAATTTTGCTGGCCGATAGTTTGTGGGCTTAAAAAGGGTGTCATCAGATAATTCTAAAAATATTTAAATATGTATAAATAACGTTATCCAAAGCAAATGTATACAAAGCATGAAATATATATGTTATTCTTGTTTCAGATGGAGAACCTCTAAACGATTTGATCACACTTATGCAAATGGGAAATTGAAGTAAAATGAATAGATATAAAATGGAATTGTTTTGCAATAAATTTCCAAATAAATTAATAGTTGTTTCTTTTATTATTTTTTAACTTACTAAAGATTGTGTGACTAAGATATTGTTTATTATGTATATCATATATCTTACTTTTAAAGGATATCCATTATCTCCCAAAAGTAATCCTGCAGCATGCACTCCTGTCTCAAATTGATAGCATAGTCTGCTATTTTGAAAAATAGCAGAATCATGTGTAGATCCTGGCCAACGACACACAATGTTTAATATCTTTAATTTTGCATCAGAGACAGTTTGTACATTCAATGAAAAATAACCTTTTCTATTTCTGAACACTTCTGCATCATCTCCACCTGAATGTAAATGTTCATAAATAATATTGTGTTGGTATTAGGTCATTAATTTACCTGGTGACTGTATCTTTATGTGTGTACAATCAATTGATCCTAGAACATTTGGAAATCCGGCAATTAAAAAAAGTCATGTTTTACTTTATTTCTCTCTTCATTTGTGGTGGGAAATTTTACAAATCTTTGCAGCAATGATGCCAAAGCATGAGAAACTTTCTTTACAATCCTGCAACTACTGCTACTACTAACACCACCATAATCGGCAACAGATGTTAAGTGGCATCCTGTTGCATAGAATCGCAACGCAATTAAAAGTTGGTTTATGGGTGCAATTGCAGCATTTCTGTAAAAACGAAATATTATCAATTTAATTTCAAATATTAGGTACCTTTACACTGTTATACATACCTGTAATCTGCATATGCCAGCTGATGTTCAATTTGATCTAAGATGAACAGTGCAGTGTTTTTATTCATGCGATATCTACGGAAAAAATCCATTTCGTCGTACTGCTCGAAATAATCGGTACGATCTCTCAGAACACGAGGACGTCGTATATGTTCATCATCATCGTCATAATAGTCCAAATCTTCGATAAATTCAATCACTTCCATATAGCTGCTATATTCGCTAGGAATATAACGTCACTTATGACAAATGTCAAACGGGCTAAGAACTTCCTAACCGGCTTAGAACGCTGTTTAACCAATACCTATCTTAGGTAATACTTATCTCACTTTAGGAAGTACTTAGCAACTGGTGAAACCGAAAATGGATTTGGGCAGTTCTTAACTTGAATTAAGAAACTCCTAAATTTTAAGACACGTTGGTGAAATCGGCCATTAGTGTTTATCCTTGATGATGAATATTTTACTATTGGGAGAGAAAAACAAACAACACATCATTCCTAATGCTTTTTGTCGAGTAAATTATTAACTTTAATGGTAAATACTGTTTTATTTAAAACATTCACATTTTGGAAGAGAATTTATGTCTTCGTGATAATTGTATTGTGTGTCTCACTTAAAATTAATCAGAAATGTGTTTTTATTCTAAAAGGATCTATTTTGAATTACACATAAGAAATTCGCATGAAGCAAAATATAACACAACCAACTCGTTTAGAGGTTTTATGAGTCTAGCTTCTAGGCTTTTATTTGATAGTTTAAATCGTTCTACTTATGGCTTTTACTATATGTTGTGACAATTACAGAATCATAATTCGGCCTATACATTTACAAAACTATTCAGAAGAATAATTAAATATAATTTTATCTCTTCTAATTTAAACTTATGTGATGTGATCTCATGTAATTCATTTTCATCAAATATGATTGAATCTTATCTTATATACAGTAATTATCAAATGTGAATTTATTCAAAAACTATTGTCAGAGGTTATAATGAACTCATGATGATGAAACTAATCATATGTCCCGTTTTTGGATGTGTTTATTTAAAATCAATAGTATTGAGAATAAATGGTTTTATACTTTTTTTCCCCAATTTTTTTCCTTTTACATGAAACTTATTCTTTTCAATATTTCTTGCTCTTTGATGCACCAGTGTTTATTAAATAACTTGTACAGCGAGTAGTATTCATTATGACAGAGGACCAATGTTGAAATGAAAAATTGACTCAAAGAGTCATCATAAAATATTGAAAGCACATGTAAACTTATACTGACCGATACTAAACATTAAGATTTAGTATTGGAAGCATTCGGAAGTACTGTCATCGTATACTGTCTGATATTTTTTAGTTTGTTGTGCTGCTACTCTGCAATGGGCGGTATTATTTTATTTTACGTGAAATTAAATCAAACTTTAAAGCCGATTTGCAATCTTCTTATTTGTTTTTGAAAAATAGTTTACCCTGAAAATGTTACTAAAATTGCTCTTACTTCATTATATAATAATAATAATAATAATAATAACGTCTTTATTGGATAACCCGGAGGGACATAATCAGCGAAGTTTAGCCAAGGCTACTCTTACACTTAACTGTTTATGTCGGTTACATCTGATGTTCAAAACATGAAAAAAAATACATATAAGAACAATGAAAAAAAGAACACATATATACCTAAGTATAAAATACAAATAGACACAATCTATTTCTGTAGCAGAAATTCTTATTTAATCAATAGCGAGCAACATGCTTTTAGTATGTTTACGAAAACTTTCCAAAGACATCAATTTAGTACTGTTGTCCAACTGATTATAAAATAGTGCTGCATTATATGTAAATCCTCGTTGGAATAATGCAGAAGTGTGTGGGGTGGTTCTGATACTATAACGATTCCTAACAGCCCTGTCATGCACTTCGTAATTAAATCTTAACTTAGCTCTTAGATATTCAGGCTTTGATGACAATATTATTTTATGAAATAAAACTAAGAATTTATGTTTAACCAAACTTCCTAACCTAAGCCAGTTCAATTCCCTATATTTATCACTTACGTGATCGTATTTACGCAACCCATAAATAAAGCGAACACAGTTATTTTGGATGATTTGAAGACGATTTTTGGTCAATTGATCCAAACATGGATAATAAACGACATCACAGTAACTGAGCATTGACATCACCAAAGATTCGCACAGTTTTTTTCTCAGCTTAAAGTTAAGCAAGTAGCGATTGGAATAAAGAGCCCTAGAACACAGGTAAGTTTCTTTCATCAAATTAGCTATTTGGCTGCGGAATCTTAAATTTGTGTCAATTTCCACTCCTAGTACCTTAGCTGTTTGAGTATGCTGTAATGTTATGCCATCAATAGTCAGATGGAAAGAATCTTCGACAGTTTTCCTCTTCTGATCAGAACAAAACATTAACACTTGTGTCTTATCTGGATTAATAGCAAGATTATGTTCCATAGAAAACTGATGTACCTTATCTAAATCAAGCTGTAAAATGTCTGAAGAATTTTGCGTATCTGAGGCGTCGAAATGGAATATTATTTGAGTATCGTCAGCACATGTTTGTATCCCTGAATTGTCAACTGCTTTATGCAGGTCACACGTGTAAATCAAAAAGAGCACAGGTCCCAAAATTGAGCCTTGCGGAACTCCTGACGGAATAGTCGTAATATTGGATTGATCGTTATTGATTGCGACACATTGCGTGCGACCGGACAAATAGCTACGGAAAAAACTGACAGCAGCATCATCGGAGCCTATATACCTCAGCTTGGCGCACAAAAGTTTATGATTTATTCGATCGACTGCTTTGGAATAGTCAATTGATACCACTTCTGTTGCTAACTTTTTGTCAACTGCCCTAATAACATTATCACAAAGATCTAACAGTGCCGAGGTGGTACTATGGTGCTTCCTGAAGCCCGATTGACATGACGATATTATTTTAAGTTCCTCTATGTAATGGACAACTTGTTGCTGTATAATTTTTTCCAAAATTTTCGATAGCACCGGCAACAAACTAATGGGTCTAAGATGTTTAAGTTCAGTAGGTTTAGATATTTTAGGGACAGGTATAATTAGAGCCATCTTCCACAGCTTAGGGTGGTAGCCATTTTCCAAACATGAGTTTATTATGTGGGTGATATGGAAAAAAGTTACGGGAAGACTTACTTTGACCATGGCTAGTGAGAGGGTGTCAATTCCTTTTGCATCTGATTTGATATCTTTGATTGCCTTCAATATTTCCACCGGCTCGACAGCTCGCAAAGAAAAGCGATTTCGATTGTCCAATTTGTTGCTATCATAAACCCGACATACATTTTCTGAGACACTGTCGTAACTATAAACTGACATAAAATAATTGTTAATACTATTTGCATCGGCTAGCTCATCTGGTATTGTTTGTTTTGAACGAGATTTTATGTTAAGCCTATTCAGCCCAGACTAAAGTTTTTAGATTATTTTGATCAGTTAGATTCTGAATGTACTCTTTCTTTTTAATTCGAATTTTATGTAGTGCCTTATTCCTCAGCTGTTTGAATTTATCAAGGTCTTCAAGTGATTTACTAGCTTTATATTTGGTAAAAGCTGAATCTTTTTCTTTGATAAGCTTTTTCATTCCCTCATCCAACCAAGGAGATGGCGGTTTATTAACACGTAGTGTCTTAATCGGAGCATGTTTGTTATAAATATTTGTGAGGGTTGTCGTCAGATGTTCCACTTTAGCATCTATGTTATTCATAAAATATAAGTCATCAAGATTAGAGGTACACAGATCTGAAATGAAAGCTGCCACGGAAGGCTCTCACGGATATGAATTTTTGATGCATCTTGCCAGCACTAAGTTTCAGAGTACACATAACAAGCTTATGGTCAGATATTTCATGAAATTTACTTATGATTTGATGCTACACGTACATATTATTATGCACACAACTTTTTTTTTTCTTTCGAATTGATTTTTCAGTCTGAGCGTCAGGCCGGGCCCCCTTTAAAAGTGCGGGCCCAGTGGGAAAAATACCCGATGCCCCCCCCCTCTCCTCGGGCCTGTTTGAGAGGGTGCGCCAATCCATGAAAAAGAGAATTGAAGCACGTATTCTAGCAAAAGGAGGACATTTTCAACAATTCTTGTGATAATTAAATTAAATAGCATTAGTTCCTTTGATCCACATTAATTGTCAAAACTTGCTGCAAACTTGTTTTTTTAATTTTCATGCATTGCCCAATCGCTAAAATCCCATGTGGTAGCTTGGAGGTAAGATGTGTCTTTTGATTGATTTTTATTCAAGTAAGTCAGTTGATTAAAATAGCTTAAACGGTTTTAATTTTTTACTTGAAAACGGTGCACCGGACGGGAAAAGTAAAGGAGTCAAATTTGTTGCAAAATAAATGGGGATTTTAAAACCTACTTTTATTTTCGGAAAAAGGAATGGCGTACCACATGTGTTTGAAAAATCTCCAGTACATATCCCGTACGGACCCCAATAAAATATTCTGCTTAAAAAAATGCCTATTGGTGTAAAGTAGGTGCACGGTAAATCTCATGAAAATATCTAGAACACTATTAAAGTTATCATAAGAAATCAAATTTTTTCTTAAATTTTAACACAATGAAGCTCAAAAGTTAAGTGGTTTAGGACATATATGTTCATAAAGACTTTTTTCCTAAAATGAGCTAAGGAATCATATAATGTATTTTTAGCCATCGATTAAATTAGGTACACCCTGTATATTGTGCAACTATTTACTGTTATAGTATGACAAACTGTTACTGTATTCTTTATTGTTATTCCTGTGATTGGGCGCAAATATTTTGGGCCAAATATTGTTATTGTCATTTTCTGTCACACACCAGTACATACCTTATCACTGCTGAAGATCGGCGTAGCGCAAACTCCCACGATACTGACAAAGAACACCATATAAACATAGTCCATCTTGGGAAGACCACTGGTACGTAAAATATCACGATACCAATTTCACAGCAATCTACACAGATAATCGTAAACTTCCCTCCTGAGCGGTGTCTTTCAGACTGATGGCATACTTTGGTGTATATTACTTCTTCACTAATTTCAGTGTAATAACATCCCAGGTAGCTGATAATATTTTAATGAGATTATGAGTGTTGACAAATACCCGTCATTATATTGGTACCGAATGCAGTGGCGTATTGGTAAACAGGGCCAGTTGACTTCTTGCTACCTGGTACCTGTCTAGATATGTACAGGGTGGTCAACGTAACTTGATATAGATTATAAATATACTAGAAACCCGTGGATAAACAAAAAAGTATGTTAGATGCAAGAGTTTCTCGGTTTAACGCTAAATTTTGTTTCTTTGTATTCTTGTGTATAGAGCGAGCATCAACTTCATTTTCTTAAATATAAATAGCACCTCCTGTATTTTATTCCATTCTCACATTCTATATATAATTTACAATACATGTTTCCTTTACATGCATGGTGTCATTAAATGTTAAGTTTTCAAGGTACATCATATTTCTTTTATTTTTGGACTATTTTTCTAAATGTAAAGCCCTATACACTTTCATATGATATTTTAAGATATCGAATTCTTTTTCAATGGGTGTATGAACGACCTTCATCTACAATTAGCATTTAAAAAATGTAATCAGCTTTACATTGTTGCCAGATTTATCATTCATCTGGAACTAAAGGATCAATATAATGAAAAAGATACCACCTCACTTGACTTTAAAAAATAAGAGCTGTATCTGAAAAATGTTAAATCTGGCAACAACAGAGTTATTACCATCTATTCTAGAATAATAGGTTAGTCTCAAGTTAGAATTTGGTGGATATCGGATCTGTCATATTTCCATTAGAATATACAGGGTGTCCCAGAAGTCGACGTCAAGCCGAAACCGGGTGATAGGCAAAGTCATAACAGCTATCAGAAAAATATTTAAAAAAATTTTATGTATGTGTTTTGAAAATTATAGGCCTTTGAAAAAGATATAGAAATTTCACACCCTACGGCAGTCTGTCAACTCCTGTTACTACAAATATTAACTTTTTTTGGATTTTATTTTTACAATGTAATGATGAATAATGCATCTTCAAACTGGTGTCTCAACCTTAGTGCCAACTTTTCTCGTTCAGAAAAAATTGCCACTTATTTCCCAACCAAGTATTCCAAAGTAAAACTTTGCTCAACTTTAACTGGCTGTACTGGAAAAAAATGTACTACGAGAGTTTGGCAAGTAACCTTAAACGTTGGCGCGTTTAATAACGATTCCAAAATGGTATAACACTTAGAAGATTACTCGTTAACTTATGCACAATTTTTATTTGAAAAAAAAACTGATGAAAATTTTTCAAAATTTCCTAATTAAACAGCGATTATGAAAACGCACAAAGACCCTTAAGGATAACTGTTTGCACAACAGTGGGCGTCAAAATGCTGCTGATGATGATTTACCTTTACAGCAAATGCTCAAACTGTTTTCCTTCAGCCGCAATACACGCTCGACATCTTCTTAAAAAAGATCGGGTTATTAAACGAGCGAATCCACGGTTATTAACAAACTCAGCTGCTTCCAATAGTCTTTGCCGTAGCTCAGCTACATTTTGAATCGGCTTGAAATACACTTTTTCTCTTACAGTTCCCCAGTAAAAAAATCTAAATGATTCAAATCAGGTGATCGGGCTGGCCACGGTATTGTACCAGACCGCCTTATCCATCTGCCTGGAAAGTTTTGATCGAGATACTCTCTCACTGAGAGTGCAGAGTGCGCTGGGCAGCCATCATGCTGAAACCACATGTCCCTGTAAATACTCAGTGGCACGTCCACCAATAAATTTTGTACATGATTTTTCAAAACACCCAAATAAACTTCAGCAGTCAAAGTCTCTGGGAACTCAAACGGACCGATTATTTTACCATTTAAAATTCCTGTCCAATGGTTTATCTTGAAGCGATATTGAGATTTATCTTCTCTCATCAAATGTGGGTTTGCTACGTGCCATTCGTGTAAGTTATGCAGGTTCATGTACCCATCTTTCTTAAATGTGGTCTCACCCGACCATAAAATTTTTTCAAAGAACTGTGGATCTTCCCTGTGTCTTTCTAACATTGTGCGACAAAAAGCAACTCGGGGCTCATAATCCCGGGGCAGGAGAGGTTGAACACGCTGTATGCGGTATGGACGAAGCACATCACTTACTTGCTATTGCACACTTTGATACCGATCAGTACTCCTTCGTTTACTGCGCATCTTTACATGTTCGTGCTTGTTGATTTCGTACTGTTACTAATTTTGGAATCGTGAACTGGACTGTTGATCGCTTGTGATTTGGATTTGGACTGATTAATTGCTCTTCAAAACAACATTTGCTTTCCTTAGACTATCTTTGATAGTGTGATTGTGCAATGCCGCTATGTCCTTGTACACCGTACAAGAATATGCTAACATGCACCTCATTTATGGGGAATGCAGATGCAACGCTAGTGCTGCAGCAAGACTTTACTGTGAGAGGTACCCGAATGCAGCTCGTCATCCAGATCATCGAGTGTTTACAAATGTGCACCGCTTACTGTTCTCAGAGGGCCAACTACCAAACCAATCACACGGTGAGGGAAGATCTTTTCTTCCTTACGAAGACGTGGTGCTAGGAGCTGTCGAAGAAGACCCGAATACTTCAGTGCGTGCAATAGAACTAAAAACAGGTGTGCCCAAAAGTACAGCCCATAGAATCTTGCGAAAAAACGTGCTCCATCTATACCACGTACAGCGTGTTCAAGCTCTTCTGCCCCGAGATTATGAGCCCCGAGTTGCTTTTTGTCGCACAATGTTAGAAAGACACAGGAAAGATCCACTGTTCTTTGAAAAAATTTTATGGTCGGATGAGACCACATTTAAGAAAGATGGGTACATGAACCTGCATATCTTACACGAGTGGCACGTAGCAAACCCACATTTGATGAGAGAAGATAAATCTCAATATCGCTTCAAGATAAACCATTGGACAGGAATTTTAAATGGTAAAATAATCGGTCCGTTTGAGTTCCCAGAGACTTTGACTGCTGAGGTTTATTTAGGTTTTTTGCATCATTTAGAAAATTTATTGGAGGACGTGCCACTGAGTATTTACAGGGACATGTGGTTTCAGCATGATGGCTGCCCAGCGCACTATGCACTCTCAGTGAGAGAGTATCTCGATCAAAGCTTTCCAGGCAGATGGATAGGGCGGTCTGGTACAGTACCGTGGCCAGCCCGGTCACCAGATTTGAATCCGTTAGATTTTTTTTACTGGGGAACTGTAAAAGAAAAAGTGTATTTCAAGCCGATTCAAAATGTAGCTGAGCTACGGCAAAGACTATTGGAAGCAGCTGAGTTTGTTAATAACCGTGGATTCGCTCGTTTAATAACCCGATCATTTTTAAGAAGATGTCGAGCGTGTATTGCGGCTGAAGGAAAACAGTTTGAGCATTTGCTGAAGGTAAATCATCATCAGCAGCATTTTGACGCCCACTGTTGTGCAAACAGTTATCCTTAAGGGTCCTTGTGCGTTTTCATAATCGCTGTTTAATTAGGAAATTTTGAAAAATTTTCATCAGTTTTTCTTCAAATAAAAATTGTGCATTAGCGGCAAACTGAGTGCAACAAGCTAAATTTGTGACCGTAGATCTGCCAACCATAAAACCATGTTGATTTTCAGAGATGAGAGATCTTACGGAGCTGAATATTGTGTTATAAATTTAAATATTTATTTTTATTATAAAAGACAAAGAAATATGCCGAGCTATATGAAGTTTTGAATCAAGAACGGCCAATAAATAATATAAAGGATCTCTGAGAAAAAAGTTAGCTAAGAGCACTTGTAACTGAGAAATGAAACGGATCAAGTCAGTCGAATAGGCGTACATGACTAGTATTAGATTCTTCGCGTACCCCTACTGGTAGTACCCACTATCTGGCAACGTTGCCTGTCGCCGATACCCCAACCTCGAATGCTTTTCGCCTTTTTCGTCCGTGACATAGTAGCAACCTAGTATGAAAAATCTATCAAAATCCAACCCGTCTTTTCCAAGTTATAGACGGGCCAAGGTTTATCAGACAGAGAGACAAAAAGCATAATATCCAATTTCAAAAAAAGTGCGATTACCCTACTTTCGCACCGGTAGGCGTGGGAAGTAAAACAAAGGTTTCTTGTCATGGCTCTTAAAATCGAGAGGCTTCTAAGATAATGTATTTTGCAGCTTTTGTTCGCCATATTGGGTACTTAAAATGAGGAAACTTTGTTGTTTCAAAGAAATAGGGTTACCGTAGTGATAGACAGATATGCAAAACTGAAAAAGGTGCAATTACCAACAAAGTATTATCATCAAGAAGTCATGCTGAGAAGTTAAACGGTTAATGATCAGCTTACCGTGTGGCAATGGGGCTATCAAATTAGATTAAAGCGTCACTTAGGCACCTACCTGCATCCCTAAATCTTTATGGACCCAAGAAAATTTGTGTCATCATCTTATAGCATTTATGGCAACCCCTCAAAATTATTTTAAAACTAATACCAGATTTGGATTAAGCGTATCCAAGAAATTAAGACAGCATCACGGAAAGTCCAAAATTACAACAGATGATAAATTGTAGTCTTAAGAAAACATGAGGTAAAGTAAAATACTAATAAAACATACTAAGTGACTTTAAAAATCCGAACACCCAGTTTAAATGGTTTTATTTTAATAAAATTTTGTATAAGTACTTAATGAAGCATAATAAGTAAATGATAAAATATTTCAAAATGATTGCACTACTTTAAAGCCCTTTGACCTTTAATAATGTGTGGATTCACCCTGATGTGCTACGCATTCTCCAACGCGCCTAGGCATGCTTCTGATCAGGTGGTCAATGTCCTCCTGTGGTATCTCATTCCAGGCAACCACCAACTCCTCTCGAAGTGCTTCTAGAGTCTGAAGAGGACGTTGCAAATTGAGCAATCTCCCACCCATCACATCATTATGTTGAAAGAAGTCTATTGTGACTCTTGCAACATGTGGTCGGGCATTATCTTGTTGGAAAGCTGGATCTGCCAGGGTGTCAAGATAGGGTAAAAGATGGGGTTCTAGAACTTCGTGGATATAACGCTGCGCGTTCATGTTACCTCTGATGAAGATTAAAGGTGACCTGGGACCATAAGCTATAGCACCCCAAACCATAACTCCAACAGTGTGATG